GAAGAAATTATTGATAAACTTTAACTATGAAATTAGCAAGCAATTGAACTCTTACACCTCAATCAGCAAATTTAACCAAAATTATGACTTGCAATATAAATAACAACACATTTATGAATAAATAGATGAAGATGAGAGATCAACAACATCAAACTTTTATCACACTACGTTGGATCGACTATATGAATTATTTTTCTCCACTGTGTTCTATTAAGAGTCAAATTCTCATTTAAATCTATTAAAAATGTTATATTTAATACTTCTAACCAAGTCATTTTAGGTCTACCTCTACCTTGCTTAATATATGCCAAATCTAATACATCTAATCTTGTAATAGGGTAATCGGAAGTTCGACGTTTTATGTGACCTAACCTTTTATGGCGACTCATTCTAATCTTATTTTTCGTCAAAGCTAATCCAATCTTTTCATGTATATATACTCATTTAGAATTTAATATCTAAGTGTAAAGCTACTCATACACCCGACCATTCTCATCTTTGCAACACCGAACTTAATTTTATGCTTCTCTTTTAATGGCCAACATTCCGTGCCATAAAGGATTGTTGGTCTCACTATCATCTTATAAAATTTTCCCTTAAGTTTGAGGGTTACTTTTGTATCACACAAGTGATGCATTCATCCACTTCAACCATTCAACTTGAATTATGCTAATAATATCATCATTTATTTCACCATCGCTTGGAATAATAGACCCGAGATATCTAACACGTACACTATTTTCAATGACTTGATCACCCAATTTCATAATCTCATCACTTGATCTATTACTATTAAAATTACACTCAATGTATTCAATTTTAGATTTATTCAAATGATAACCTTTTGAGTCTAAGATTAACCTCTATAATTCAAGTTTTTCATCAACTCCCTCTCTAGTCTTTTCAACAAGAAGAATATGATCAGCAAAAAGCACACACCAAGGTACATGCCCTTGCAAGTGTCTAATAAGAGCATCCATGACTAAAGCAAGAAGTTATCGGCTTAAATTTAATCCTTAATGTAATCCAACTAAAATAGAAAAATACATAGTTATACCATATATGTTTAAACACAAATAATAGCTTTTGTATACTTATCCTTAATGACTTGAATTGAATATAAGCATTATAATTCTTTTTCCTTCTAGAACTCTCCAGAGCACTTTTCTTGGAACTTCATCATATGCTTTCTCTAAATTAAAAAAAATATCAGATATAGATCCTCCTTTCTCTATAATTAAACATCTCAAAAAATGTATAGCTTTCATAATAGACCTACTTGATCCAAATTAATTTTGAGAAATATTAGCATCACATCGTACTCTTTGCCCGCTTACTCTCTCCCATAATTTTAATGTATGATGCATTAACTTAATTCATCTATAATTCACGTATTCTTGTTTATCACTTTTATTCTTAAAAATAGGAATTAACATACTCCTCCACTCATCTAACATCTTTTTAATCTTCAAGATAATATTAAAAAGTCTAGTATGCAAAAATATTCCTTAATCTCCTAAGCATTTTCACACTTATATTGGAATATGATCAGATCTTATTGCTTTTCCATGCTTCATTTTCTTTAAAGCATCTCTTACTTTAGTTTTACTAATAAGATGATAAAAATAAAAATATATATTTTTATTTATTGTGCTAAGGTCACTAAAATCAATCGTATTCTTACAACTTTTATTTAAAAGTTTATTGAAATATCACATCCGCCTATATTAAATATACTCTTGTAAGAAAAATACTTTTTTGTCTTTATCCTTAATATACTTCATTTGAACTAAATTTTTTACTTCTATCTTTTTTCTTAACTAATTTATACATATATCTTTTGCCCTTTGTAGTATCTTATTTATTATAAACATTATTAAATACTAAAATTTTTGCATAACATATTATTTTCTTAGACTCCCTGCAAGCTTTTCATTATATTTTACAATTTTTTGAGATTTTACATCTAAATAATTTTTATAACAAAGTTTTTTTACTTTTGATATTTTCTTGCACATTTTGATTTCACCACCAATCATTTTTGCTATTATGAGATTTTCTTTTTGATTCTCCAAGCACATACTTTATAACATTTTTTATGTTCCTAACTACTTTTTCACATATAACATTAACTTATTCATGAACAATTTAATCTTAAGATCTTGAATTTTACTGAAAATATTTTTATTAATATTTGTTAAATATCCCCATCTAATCTTAAGATAATATTTTACTTCATTTTTTCATTTTTTATAATTTCATCTTAAAGTCTAAAACTAATAAACAACATTAGATACATAAATTTTTACTCGGAATGACTTTATACTTTTGCAATCTAAATGATCTATTTTCTTACAAGAAAATAATTAATCTGAGTTTTAATATGTCCATTCTTATAAGTAATAAGATGCTCATATCTTTTTTTAAAATAAAATATTAACAATACAAAATAATAAACTAGGGCAAAATCTAAGATAATCCTACCATCTTTATTAGTCGCTTCAAAGTCATAGCCACCATCAATGCTTTTATAATCTTTTACCACTCTACGAAAATGTTTATTTAAATCTTTTCCAATAATTTTTTTCTTCAAGAGATTTTTTTTGTATTAATTCTTTAAAGTCATTAAAAATTTATTTTTTAACACATATCCATATCTACTTGAGCATAAGAACTTATAATATTAGTAGTCTTAGCATCAAGAACAAATTTTTAAGTTATAATTCTACCTCAAATTTATTAATTTTTATAACATTATTTTTCAAATTTTTATTTATAATCAAACCTATGTCATTTTTAGTATGCTTCCTACTTGAATATCAATATTTAAATCCTAAACTATCAACTTTTGTCTTTTCCCCAACCCATTCAGTTTTTTGAATACATATAATATTTATCTTCCTATAAATTATAATATATATTACTTCCATTAATTTGCTTGTAAAATTATTTATATTCCAAGTTCCTATCATAATTCTAATTTCATAGATTAGCTTCTTTGTCCACATTTATCTATGATGTGGGAGCTCTTATTTCTCATTGCACCTGGGCGTCAATTTAGCGACTTTTGCACATTTTTCATTATATTTAGGCCATACAATGCGTTGCTTTTAGGGAATGTCCTAATATTAACACAATGCATTAAATGATTCATTTTATAATTATTTAATAAGTTTTATGTTGATTGTCGACTACATAATGCAATCATCCACTTTCTCATCCATGGCTTGAGACCCGACAACGGCGGTGTTATGAGATAGTCAAAGTGGAGATAATCTTAGACTAACTCTTATATCCATTATCTTCCCCTAGAAGCTATCTTCCGCATTGCACCATATAGGCATATACAAGTTGAAAGCATAAATTTGAAATTTTATTAATCAAAAGTTGTTTTGCATGCCTCAATATTTGTTATATTTATAAACAACTAGCATCCGAAAGTTGTCTGCTCCCTCAGTCCTTAAAGTACCCCTATTTTGAAAACATGAGACTCAATTGACACATGGAGTCAGTTGCACTTGATAAAAATTACTACAAAATCCCACGGAATTCAAACTCACCCATTAAGTTGACTTTAGCAAGCATAGCAGAACCTCCCCAAACCTAAAGAAGAACTACAGAATAGAAGAATCCGTAACAAGACTCAACGACAGCTATATGAATCACATAGAAGCAGCAAAAAGCTATAGAAACTGAAGCGCAAACAGCTACGGGAACATTCAGTCGCAACCACTAAAGGAGCCAAAATAAAAATCTGCTACAATACTGGAACCGGTTAGTTCATGTATGACTGCAGTTGTGCATCAGAGTCAGCAAGATTCATTCAAATGTATGTTGTAAAATTGTGTATTGTTGTCGAATGTAATCAATCCAGAAATAAGGATTCAAAAGATTTTCTATTGTACTTAACACTAGTCCCAAACTTCTACAGCTTCCATGCGGACAGTCCTCGATATCGAAGTGAATTCATTGGTGCAGTAAGTTGCTGCTGCATCATCATACTTGGCAATGATAGATTTGACTCAAAGATAAAAAGCTTTGAGAACAAATTTGCCAGATTGTTTAACCAACAAGCAGTCTCTTATAAGTTATAATTAGGTGTGTAGACGAGTCGAGTCGAGTAATGACACTATCGAGCTTGGCTCGTTAGTTAGAAAGCCGGCTCGAATTCGAGCTCGAGCTCAAAAAGCAAGCTCTGCCCGCCATAAATGAGCTCCAGCCGCTCGCGAGCCTTGGCGGTCCGGTCGCTTCCGCACTCACAAGCGAAGTCCGGTGGTCTTCCGCGCCCACAAATTCGCTAGCCTCTACGAGACTCGTAAACCTCTGTGAGCCGTGAACCTCTGTGAACTATCTGCGAATGTAGAACCTCCGCGAACCTCGAACCCAGAAGTCGGGTGCTGTGCCGGCGCCGCTGTCCGCCTCGAGCCTCGCGTTTGAGCCAAATTTTAAAAAATTTAGGCGGGATTTAAAGAATCATTTATAAGAGGTTTATTGATGATATTGTTCTCCGTTTTAAATCAATGGATACCCATGTTATGAAAGCAGTAGACTTGTGGCCTATGAATTTTAGGATTAAAAATCAGAGTGACTTGATATAATGGAAAAGTTTTCTCTTTAAATAAAATCATGGGGTTAATGTTTATTGGATTATGGTCCTTCTATTGAGTTGTCCAAGGAGGTTGGATGTTTGTAAGAGGTTTACTCTTTGTAATTCCCTTTATTTTAATATGATTATCCAGTATAAGCTAATGATTCTTTTGTTGCTAAAGTTTTTGAATCATTTGCCAATCAAAGAGGTAGGTGGAAACAACTGAGGCTTAAAGCGTTTGCCGAATCAAACTTCTCTGTTTTCCATGTTGTTAGTTATCAGAACAACTTGCTTCTGATGTAAATTCGTTTGCTAAGTTAGAATTTGCATCAATTATCAGATTACTCCATGTTGTTATGCATTTAAGATTGTAACTAGAGGCTTATTTCTATAAAATTTGTGTGTTCTGCAGGTAGCCTTCAGGACAAAAGTATTCCATCCAAATATCAATAGCAATGGCAGTATTTGCCTTGACATTCTGAAGGAGCAGTGGAGTCCTGCATTGACAATATCCAAGGTTACTTTTATTAATACTGATGTTTTTGTATGGAGTTCGTGAAGTTGTGTTAATTTTGATGCTAATGATGCTCTCATCTTCCACCTCAAACGAACCTGAATTAATGGTTTAGCAGAATTTAACAAATGCTTGCTCCCTTTAGCTTTCCACTATTTTTCTAAAGAAAATACCAATGCTTAGCAATACGATCAAAGTAATATAGTACGTGCTTCTTATAATAAATATAATGCATGTTATGAGGTCTCCTGGCATGTTTGACATGACTACACTGATATCGCTTATTTGTGAAGCAATAAATAGGAAGATATTTGAAGCCTTCACGGTATTGCTTTTCACTTTTTTTGCCTTTTAAAATTTAGCATTTAATAATTTTGATTTATGTGAGGAATAGATGGTATAAATTCTATACAACACATACACCTCCATAGCTTCACGTTCATAGGAAACACTTAAAAAAGAAGCTTATTTTTTATAAAAGTCGATGATGACTTGATATCTAGCAATACAACACAAAAACAATGCATTACCAAAAGAAGCCTTGCATTCAATACATTTGAAATGGTAGTGAGCTGTGAGCGTGCTATGTTCAATACTTAGTGATTGGAAACTAGACTCTGAAATACAATGACTTCAAGTGATTTGAACAGGTTTTGGGAGAAGCCATTTATGCTTAAGGAACTCAATTTAAGGCACTTCCAACCAAACCTTGAAGAACAAGGTCTGAAATATGTGCCACTCATCATCCAAGTACTTAATGTTGAACCAGCCGTCTGCATAATCAATTAGTTGCTTGGAACTGTAAGATGAAGCGGGTTTTAGATGGATACTACTTGCATTATAGGTAGTAACACATGTATAGCTCAATAGGTGTCAATATAAATATCAGTGTTTGAAGTACTTGTCCTGTCAAATGAGAACTAAGCTAAGGTGATCTCACCCAACTCCATTCAGTTGATGTTCATAAGTATATCTTACTATATTAACATAGTGCATCACAGTCGGATGTCACACTGCTTCCTGAAGTAATATTCATTTTAGCTATAGGGTCACAAATGGTGGAGGTCATACTGTCACCAAATAACACTTTCTGCTAAGCACGTATTTGTACACACCCATTGCAGTTCATGCATCATATGAGAGTTATCAAGAAACATGAATCCCAAATTATCACCATATATAATATTCTAAGCATCATAATAAGCTGACGTTGCTTCCTATTCACAGCGGAGCACCCCTCTTATCCTCCCGAGTTTGCACAGGGCTGCCAGTTCCTCACCGAACCCCTCTTTCTCATTATACTACTGTTTCTTTTCTTCACTTGCACATAGAAACTGCTCCAAACCTGCAACCCATTTCATCGTCGGCGACCAGCCCTCGTCTTCCTTTATAATGAAATAGCTGCAGCCAACACCACACCTCTTCCTTCTCCACCTCTCGAGTTCACACCCAGCTGACTGTCATAACACCTGTCGACGAAACAACCCACCTTTGTCTATATCAAATCCCAAATAATCAAACCTTCTCTATCCTTCTCACCCTCTCTCCCTCTCTTTTTTATCCCACTTTACTTCATCTCTCAAACAAGACAAAAGCCTTTTCCTTTTCCCTCTCTAGCCTCCTCTCTCTCCACTTCTCTCTCTCCACTTCTCTCTCTCCTCCCTTTCTCTATCTTAAAAAAGAAATAAAAAATAGAATAAAAAAGAAAAAGAGGAAAAATAGTATTTTCTTTCTCATACTCGTCGCTTGCCTTGGGAAAATGTATAATCCAAAAATCTCAAAATTAAGTATTCATAAGCGTTGTTTCAATGTGGCAAAAGGAAATTTACGAAATAAATACATATGCGTGTTGTTTTAATGTGGTTGTGAAATTTGTGAGATAAGTTTATATTTGTGTTCTTCCAGCATAGTGGGGAAATCATATATTTTTTCTTTTTAGATGAAGAATACCTATGTATGCTGTTTTAAGCACGGTGAGATGGAAGATCCTCCCCAGTTGTAGTATCTTACAACAATGACCATGCATGTTTTTTTAAGTGTGGTAGGAGGGATTTTTAGGGGTGTCAATATTTGACTCGACCTGGACCTGACCTATTCTGGGTTTGAGACAATTCGTTTGCCAGACGAGTCGAGTTCGGGTTCAATATTTTGACCCATTTCTTAAACTGGGTCGAGTTTGGGTTGACCTACGTCGCACCCAACTGTGCTTCGCTCTCACTGAGCATGCATGCTCCACCTTGCATGACCGTAGGCCGCACCTTCACGTGCACCCCACAGTCACGCTCCCACACTCACTCTCGCTTCTCGTAGCTCACCCTCGCCCCTCAGCCCTCGCCCTCGCCCCCGCCCGTCGTGCACCTTGCACCAGCCCTTCTTAGAAGTCGAAAATCGAGTTAGCGAGTTGGGTTGGGTCAACCGGAAACTCGACGGGTTGGGTCCTGGTATGAATTCTTGACTTGTTTGCCTAATTGGGTCGGGTTTGGGTTGGATTAGTTGAACGTGGGTCAGTTTTGGGTTGGACCCGAACATGACTTGAAAACTCATTTTGACACCTCTAGGGCTTAACACTCCTGATAACATCTATTATATAAGGAGATGCTAGAAGGTTGCTAAAATTTATATTAATGAACTTAAAAAAGAATTACATATAGGGGACTTATAACATGTTTTAAAAATTTTCTTTAGGCGCATGCTTCAAGGTTCACCTCTAATTGAGGTGAATTATAAGGAGTGTTCGAGGCTTAAAACTCACTAATGCCATTGATGCTTACACCTTTTTTAAATAAGGCGTATGCTTCCAGGCTTAATGCTTCGAGGCGTTTTGATATGGTGCATCATTCAGGTTGAAATTTATAATTTTTTATATGTTATTATTGTTAATATATATTTTATTTTTCTCTATAAAGTGAAGGAACTGATTGGCTACATAATGGGTGATGATGAAATTGTATCATTGGTGGTTGATGATATACTATATGATAATAGGCGAATAAAACGAAAAATAATGAAAGATTTGAAGTTGAAGTTGAAGATGAAGGAATGGCCTTTAATGATGAGAATAATGAAAATATCAGTACAACATTGAAAGGGTTACTGAATTGAGAGTAGTTTCTATTTCATAATTGTGGAAAAATGGACCATAACTTTTGAACAATCTTATTTTTTTGATTAAATACTATATTGAGAATAATATACCGTCTCAAAAGATAAAAATAATATTCTATAATAGATTCAAAATTCAAAATAAGATTTTGAAAATTTTCATTTGTATAACCACATACAACATATAGAATAACATACTTTCTGGAAAGACAAAAATAATATTTTACAGTTTTATTTGAAAAATGGGGTTTTGGGAAAATGTCCATGTTCCCAAAGTTTTTTCCATACCTCATAGAAATAAAATAAGACTTATTTAATTATGGGGTACAAGTTCCCTATATAGACAAAGCCTTTATGGTTAATTATAATATAAAAAATGGTGAATCTTTCGACAATACTTTCGATTAAAGTGATGAAAAATATTTTTAGGATTTCAAAGTTGAAAAAAAAGATTGTATTTTCTGATTTCAAAAGGTGATTGGTTCAACATGAAATATTTCTTTCTAAAGCCTTTATGGTTAATTATAATATAAAAAATGGTGAATCTTTCGACAATACTTTCAATTAAAGTGATGAAAAATATTTTTAGGATTTCAAAGTTGAAAAAAAGGATTGTATTTTCTGATTTCAAAAGGTGATTGGTTCAACATGAAATATTTCTTTCTAAAGCCAAAGGATAAAAAATAGGGAGCACCACGATTTTGAGAAGCTTAAAAACACTCTAAACTATCTTATACAACAACAACAACAACATCAAGCCTTTATCCCACTACGTGGGGTCGGCTACATGAATCCTTTTTCTCCATTGTGTCCTATTAAAGGTCAAATTCTCGTTTAAATCTAATAAAGAAAGGTTATTCCGAATATTTTCAAACCAGGTCTTTTTAGGTCTACCCCTACCTTTCTTAACACAAGTCAAATCTAATACCTCTACTCTCCTAACCGGGTCATCACAAGGCCGATGTTTTATGTGACCAAAACATCTAAGGCGACTTTCTCTAATCTTATCTTCTACTGTAGCTACTCCAACCTTTTCACGTATATGCTCATTTCGTATCCTATCTCTAAGGGTAAAGCCACTCATCCACCTGAGCATCCTCATCTTTGCCACACTTAACAAAGAATTATGCTTCTCTTTTAATGGCCAACAGTCGGCACCATAAAGCATTGCAGGCCTCACTACCATCTTATAGAATTTTCCCTTAAGTTTGAGGGGTACATTTCTATCACATAACAAGCCCGATGCATTCCTCCACTTCAACCATCCAACTTGAATTCTACTGATAATATCCCCATCTATTTCACCATCACTCTGAACAATAGATCCAAGATATCTAAAACGTGTACTCTTATTAATGACTTGATCACCCAAAGTCACAATCCCCTCACTAGGACTATTACTGCTAAAACTACACTCCATATATTTCGTTTTAGATCTACTCAAGCGAAAACCTTTAGACTCTAAGGTTGACCTCCATAATTCAAGTTTACCTTCAACTCCCTCTCTAGTCTTATCAACAAGAAGAATATCATCAGCAAAAAGCATACACCAAGGTACATCATCTTGCAAATGTCTAGTGAGAACATCCATGACAAAAGCAAAAAGATATGGACTTAAAGCTGATCCTTGATGTAACCCAACCGAAATAGGAAAATACTTGGTCAATCCACCTTGTGTTTGAACACAAGTAATAGCTCCTGCATACATATCTTTAATGATTTGAATATAAGCATTATTAACTCCTTTCTTTTCAAGAACTCTCCATAGCACTTCTCTTGGAACTTTATCATATGCTTTTTCTAAATCAATAAATATCATATGTAGATCCTCCTTATTTCCTCTATATTTTTCCATCAAACCTCTGAATAAATGTATGGCTTCCATAGTCGACCTACCCGAC